CCACGGATATGTATCTGTCTCTTTCTTACGTATCTGATACCAACCACAGATATGTATTTTTGATACCTGTTTTATATGTCTGCTACCAACCCCAGACATATGTTCTTGTATCTTTGATGTCTCTTTCATACGTATCTGATACCGACCACGGATATGTATCTGTCTCTTTCTTACGTATCTGATACCAACCACAGATATGTATTTTTGATACCTGTTTTATATGTCTGCTACCAACCCCAGACATATGTTCTTGTATCTTTGATGTCTCTTTCGTACGTATCCGATACCGACCACGGATATGTATCTTTGATGTCTCTTTTATGCATATCCGATACCGACCACGGATATGTATCTTTGATGTCTCTTTTGTGCATATCCAATACCGACCACGAATATGTATCTTTGATGTCTCTTTTGTGCGTATCTGATACCGACGATGGATATGTATCTTTGATGTCTCTTTTGTGCGTATCCGATACCGACCACGGATATGTATCTTTGATGTCTCTTTTGTGCGTATCTGATACCGACCACGGATATGTATCTTTGATGTCTCTTTCATACGTATCCGATACCGACCACGGATATGTATCTTTGATATCTCTTGTGTACATATCCGATACCGACCACGGATATGTATCTTTTCTATCTCTTTCGTACGTGTCCGATACCGACCAAGGATATGTATTTTTGATGTCTCTTTCTTGTATATCCGCTACCAACCCCGGATATGTGTCTCTGATACTTTTTTTTGTATGTCTGCTACAGACTTCAGGCATATATCTTTTGATATCTTTCTTACAGGTGTTTGTTACTAAACCCCAACAAGAGTTCCTCGATAACCAAGTTATCCTTCGGTGTGTCAAACTCTGGTTAAACATGCATCTAACCCTGATAATCCTTTTTTACCTAAAAAAATATATAAATATAGAAAATACAGAAAAAACCAAAAATAATAATACTTGACTGGCTTCGGAGCGCAAATTTTTGGGTTCTTTTAGTATTTAATCTTGCTCCACCCTGAAAGTTCGAAAGGCTGACGCCAATCTCTCCTTCAGGTTGAAGGCGATTAAATAGGGGCAGCTGTTGCACCCCAAAATTTGCCCTCCTAATTGCACTTTTATGGTTTAGACTTTTTGCATTCATCCGCATCATTCCAATGGGTCATGGGCATAGCACACATTTTTCATAAAATAGATCGCCTGAGGATCTAGGGTTTACAGCCGATTTGAGGTGTATGTGTTGAATAAGTTTGATTGTCCAGGATCTTCTCGGTATACAAGGTCTTGGAATTAGGATTTTTCTTCAATGTTCAGCTTGAATTTCAGCACCATCAAGCCCAAGACATGTATACTATGGAGTATGATTCTACCTCCATCGCTCCTCTTCTTGATATATTGCGAAACCTTGATCATGACAGGGTCACATCGCACCTCACTGATATCAATGCAAAGATAATAGGGGAAGAATATGATTCTGCACGCCATAATGCTCAAGTTGTTAATGTCTTGTATGAGGTATTGATGTTCCCAATTCTCTTAGATTATCAGCCTCTGTTCACTCAGTTTGAGTTGTTTGTTGAGGCTATTGATAATAAGCACGAACTGGCTTTGTCTGCCCATCAACAATTTCCGAGAGTGTATGCATTACTTTTTTGCAAGAGAATTGTTCGTTCTGTTGGATACCGCCTAGCAGGATCAATGGGAAGAGTAAGGAGCGCAGTAGACTTGGAACCTCTGCAACCATTGCTTAAGAAATTTATCTGTTGTTTAGAGGCGATGCTTTGCCATTGGTTATGGAGACTTCAACACCAAAAACTCCACTGGATCGCATGTCCATATGGATTGGCATCAAATCACTACTCGGTTTCTTGGATCCTCCAGCTTTTGAAGAAGGGATATTGGAGAATTATCCCTTTTTTCTTGATATTGCACTCAATCATATTAGTGGCGATTCACTTGAATTTTCACATGTTGTTACTTGCTTGAGACTACTTTTTGAAATGCTTGGCTGTAAGCTTTGGTTAAGCTCTACACTGTCTCCAAGCGCAATGCGCAACACTCTACTTGGTCAGTGCTTCCATATTCGCAATGAGAAAATCCATATAGATATTTTTGGTCTATTCCAACCCTTTCTACAGTCTCTTGAAGCTTTGCATGATGGGGAGCATGAAAAGCAACATAGGCATTTTCTCTATTTTCTCCTTCATCAAGTGCCAACAAGCAGTAACTTCAGCATTCTAACAAGAAGATTGGCATGTCAGATGGCACTTCTTATTATACACCGAGGTTACAAGATGAGCCCGCCTTGTCCTCCTTTTGAGTGTGCACATATGTGGGGACCCTCGCTCGTCTCATCTTTGAAGGACTCTTCACTTCATAGTTCTCTGAGGCAACCTGCTTCTGAGCTTATACAGACAATCATAGTGTCAGATGCTACAGCTTTAATATATTCAGTGTTGAATTTCTGTGTAACTCGTAGCATTGATAGTAGCATGGCATACGAGTTCCCTAAATTGGATGATGAAAGTGATGATATTTGGCTGTCATCTATTCTAGATGGCGAAGAGCAGGATTGTAATAGTTCTTGGAGTGAATTCAATGCGCAGAGTGGTATAGCCTCTCAGGAGTTCCGAGATTGGATGTGCATTCCAATGTTATGGGTTGATGTTTTAGTTGATACCAGTCCCTCAATTCTCCCACTTTCATTTTCCAAAGCTGTTTTTTGGGCACGATCTCGTTTTCCGATGGTAGAGCTTAAAGGTAGTGCTGAAATGATGCCTCCAGTCAGATCTTGCCTTTCATCTTTTTGTTGCAGAATTATCATTTTTCATTTGGGTGGAAAGTTCTAACTGGATCTAATGATGGCGGTGATGGAAACAAAACTAACTCAGTTGAAGTGTTGATTATGTCTTTTCCTTTAATAAGAATATTTAACAGGTTCACTACACATTTTCTAGTTCAGATGAGACAAGGAGAACTTCAAAGTCAGCGGGTTTGGGAACCACTAATGAGTCAAAGCTTGATCCTTTCATTATTGGATCCAAATGACGATGTTAGACAGTTTGGAAAGTCTATGTTGGAACAAGTTTCAGATACTCGTGGTCTTTCTTGTGGTCTGAAGTTTCTTTGTTCTCACAGACCCTCGTTGCATGCAACTCTTTTGGGACTAAAACATGCTATGAAACTGGTCCAACTGGATTCTGTTCTGTTGAAGTTTCATACTTTACATCATTTTTGGTTTCTTTTATGCAAATTACTCAAAGATGAGGGTTTACTTGGCCCAAAGTTGGTCGGAAATAGACACGGTGACTCAAGTCTGCCAAAGTTCTCTTCACAAGGCGAGTTTTTGAAATAGCCAGCTTTTGATTCTCTGCCTGTGGATATTGATAAACTCTGCCTATTTGGTAGAGAAGAGCTTAGAAATTTCACAATGCTGATCAAAAATAAATTGGGTGTCAAATGGATTCACAATCTCATGGAATGGGGAAAGTCCATGCTAAAAGTTGTAATTATTTATTGGAAACGAGCACTTACTTATTTACTGAATCTGTTCAAAGGTTCTAGTAATAAAACTTTTGCATCAGCAATCATGATCATTGAAAATTTTATTACGAGCAATGGTTTTACTTTGGAAGGATTGTCAGAACATGTCTCTCGCCTGACCATGTCTCTATCTAGTGAAGACTCTCATAATTTTCAGGAGGAAAATGCGAAGTTCAAGTCATCATTAACTAAAAGCCTGTCTTTAAAAAAATAACTTTTTAAATTATTCTTCATCCACGGAAGAAAAAGGCTTACAAATTTTGGACTCTAAAGTGACGAGTGGCAAAAAAGATACGGAAACTATAGTTATTCTTTCAGATGATGAATTTGAACCAAATGTGTTTTCTAATGCCATTTTATCAGTTAGTGAGACAGGTCAAAACATATCTGATGGCAACTTAAAGCCTCATACTGGTGGTAATAGTTCACTAGCATCTGACCGTGCAATCCAGAATGTTGCTTACATGAAATCTTCTAAGGAAATAAAGGAGGCCTTCCAGAAGAAGGATACTGCTGAAGCTTTCAGTCTTTCTTCTCAGAAACAAGACTCTGGTTATTTATGCAATAAGCTTGCAGTTGCTCCATATGTTGATTCAAAGTGCCCGAAGAGTTGTAAGAGGGAAGGAATTTCCAAATCCAAGGATAGGGTCAATTCGATAAAATATTTTGTTGAAACTGTTAGTACTAAGAGTTTGAATAGAACAGGCAGTAATATAGCTTCCAAAATTAGTGACACTCTGCCATGTCCTGGTAACGAAGTTTTAAGTGACCTTCGGGATTCTGAAGATGACCCGCTAGAAACTGCATTGAAATCTGTGGGGCGTACCCAGTTGTATGTACCAAAGCCCACTTCAATTTTGAAAAGGCAAGTTACTCAACTAAAAACTACTCTTGAAAACAGATTCGGTAGTCTTCATAAGGCAGGGGACCAAACGAGAAGATTCAAGCCACCAAGTTTGGATGATTGGTATAAACCTATTCTTGAAATAGATTATTTTGCAATAGTTGGTTTGTCATCTGCAAGAAAAGATGAAAGCCGAGCTGTTAACAGATTAAAGGAAGTTCCTATATGTTTTCAATCAGCTGAAAAATATGTGGAAATGTTTCGACCATTAGTTTTGGAGGAGTTTAAAGCACAACTTCAAAATTCTTTTCTTGAGATGTCTTCATGGGAGGAGATGTTTTATGGAAGCCTTTCTGTGATTGTCAATAGAGAGAATTTATGATTTTCATATTGTTCGTTTTGTCCATGACGATGGTGATTCTGCAACATGTCCACAGCTTCAAGCCCAGGCCCAAGCTCATGCAGCAGCAGCCAGTGGTCTTCTTGGCCATACAGAATTACGATTGCATATGCCTCCATCGATAACACTTGCAAGCCGAGGGCGTCTGCAGGGTCTCAGACTTCAGCTGACACTTCTTGATCGGGAGTTTGATGATCTAGATTAATGAACTTTAAGAGCTCTGGATTTGGATAATGTTTCTACTGCACCTTCTATGACTGAAGAAGAGATAAACGCTCTTCCAGTTCACAAACACAAGGTTTCTGTTCTCCAAAAAAGGTAGTTCTTCAATGCCACAAGCACCGCCATCATCTTCTGCCGAGAAAACACAGGATAATTCAAATGCTGCTTCAACACAAATCCTACTAGGCCACTTGGAACTCAACCTGTAAAATCGCATCAAAACAATCCACAATTAGATCCAAAACTAACAATCCAATGACATAACCTTCAGCTTGCCAACTAACTATTCTATAACTAATTCCTTTTAACCCAACTAAACAACACTGCATAACTTATAAAAGGATTTTCTAACTGTCCTAACAAACCCCAAACTAACTCCTAACAAACTCTAAACAGTTTCTAACCAAATCCCATCTTCTAAACAATATAGCAGAAAATCTATATAACAGGGAGATTATCATTCAGTTTGAGGAGGATTTTTATGATTCAACACAAAAAAAACTCACCTTCTAATTCTCTCTGAAATCGCATAATCATCAATATTGCTTCATTATCTTCTGAAACTTCTTCACAGTTCTTACTCTTCTCTGCAACCACCGCAAATTACTCCTCCAATCGAATTTCATCAACTTCATCTTCATGTTCTTTAAATCGCCCCTTCACCAGAATTACTCTACTCTTCATCACCCTCTTTCATCTTCAATAAATTGGATATCACAACCTCTTTATACGTCATTTCAAGAAGCGCATTAGGCTATGACATTCAAGAACAACCAATCTGCACCACAACCATATCTTCAACCCTTATCACTATTCATCCTTCACCTCCACCTTCAATCTTAACACTCCTTACTGTAACCCAGAAAATTTCCACCCCACTTCAAGTTTTGAATATGCAACCTTCATCGCAAAAGTCCATCTGCAATCATCTTGTTGCAACATATCTCTGACAATCAATTTCATCAACAAAGCTTCGTCTTTCATCATCATCGCGTCACACCAACAACAAATCCAACTACCATCGAAAATCATCTTTCATCTTCACCGTACCTTCAATCAACAACAACAACAACAAACGCTTGAGCAATAATCGAAACGTAATTGGATTCCGGGAAGAAGAGAAAATGGAATCAAATACGCATACCTGAGTTTTGAACACGCGCCGGACTTGTCTTCCAATAGAAGTGAGAAACTAATTGAGAAGAAGACGAAGCCGCTGTGACGGAATTGAAGGAGCTTGAGGCGGAATTAATGGAGCTACTAGGTGACTCGTAAATAGTTGTAGCCGCGATTGAAAAATGACTGAGACAGAATCGGAGGATGAGAAGGTGAACGAAGGAATAAGAGAGAAGAGGAATGAGGGAGTTTGGACGAAGCTGATGATGGTGAATGGCGAGGCCCCCGCTGCACGAGAACATAGATGAGACGGAGGGTGTTATGCGGCGCTAGAAGGTTTGGGTAGGGAGGTTGCGTTTTGACGAAAGTGAAGACCAACGATGAACTCTAATCTTTTTTTTTAATTTGTTTTTTTTCCTTATAGTTTTATTTCATTTAATATATATTAATAGGTGAAATAAAAATCTGGATTGGATATTGGTGTTATTGATCTGGGCCTCGCTGCTTACACTCCCAAAGGCTCGGCATTTTTTTTAGAAGCATGTTTGCCTTGTACAAAAAGGATCCTCCTGGGCTCAAGCTGGATGGGCCTTATGCCCAAGTCTCATTGCAATACTCCCTGTGCCAAATTCACACCCTGTGACTTTGCTAACTTTTTTTTTTCTTCTAGTTTTTTTTTTTCTCTTTTAACTGATAAAAAATAATAATAATAAAAAAGGTGGTAGCATATAGTAGAAATTTCTCTAGAATTTCTTTTTTTTAGAATTTTAATTAGAATTCTCTATTAGTGTTTATGTTTAGTAACCATTTTTCGTTGCCATTTTTAGTCAAGATCTTTGTGATAGTATCGATGCAATTTTTGCAATATGGAATGCTTGGAGATTAATTCTATGATCACTCATGCGGAGCAGCTTTCGGTAGAGTTTTCTTATCACTTGTGTGACTTTGAAAAGGCAACGGACCTTCTATGTTCGGTCTCATCGTGGCCTTTTTTTATCCCTCATTTCGTACTTTATTGCATTTCTTTATCGCAATCCATATGCATGCTAATATTAGGTAGAAATTCCCTCTTTAACCCGAATCTTATGGCTACTAATGCATAATAACATTAGGTTTAGAAGTAGGCTAGTCCCCATTTGACTTTTCTTTATCCTTTCGCATACGCATTTAAAACAAAAATTTCTTTTTCTTTTCAAAAATTCAAAACACTTTAAAACTAATGATAAGAATCATATCTTTGTTAAGCATATGAGACGATCAGCGGGTTTCTTCTCGACTTTATCATTCTCTTATTCTAGGCTTTAGTATGGTTCAAGTCTCAAAAAATCATTTCAGGAATAAGTAGAGACATGGCTAAAATCTCTCCCTTGAGATCAACTAGTTATTCTCTACAAGCAAAAACACCAACAAACATAAAATTCTTTTTGCCTTCGGGCCTTCCTTTCAAAAAACCTTTTTCGAAAGAGCATATTAATTCATTTCTGTGCTGACGCGTAAGTCTCCAAAGGTCGAGTTGCGGCAGAAGGCGAAATTAATATCGTTCATTACAAACACAAACAAATTCAAAACTTTTTGTGCGTCCAGGCACATTTCTTTCCAAACTTTTCAGAAGAGCATGTTAATTCACTTCTGTGCTGGCGCGTAAGTCTCCAACGGTCGAGTTGCGGCAGAAGGCGAAATTAATATTGTTCAGCAAAAAATACAAACAAACAAAAACATATAAGCCAAACTACGGCTGCTCTGATTCCTTAAAAGGGATACGTAGGCATTGGGGTAGGGCCCAAGCGAGCACAATTTTATTTTCCCTACATTCTTTTCTCTTTTCTTTTGCATGCATTCTCCCTTTAGCAGTAATAAACAATAAGCATAGATTAAACACACCCATAAGATAGACAACAAGAGTGGATACCGTAGAGTAATACGGGCGTGTGGGGTGCTAATACCTTCCCCTCGTGTAACAGACTCCCTTACCCTTATCTCTTGGTCGTTCGACCTTGATTTCATCCTTCTCAGGTTTTCTCGATGTTTACCTTTCCTTCCTGTGGGATAAAAGACGTTCGATGGCGACTTCATTGTTTTGATGATTTTCAGCCGGTTGTTTCAAAGTGTTTGCAAGATTTTTGCATAGTTGGATTGAAGTTTGAGTGCAGGTATAACAATTTTCCATAGCTAGGGTTTGAACCTCCAATTTGGGGTTTTCTCTATTGGCCAAAATTAGCCAAAACTAAGGATATCATCTTACTCAGGAGGTTGAGAGCAATCAACCCATGGTCTCAAAGTGAATTTATTTTGCGTTTTGTGCTTGTTTCACATGCAGGTTTTATAGTGATAGACAAAAATCTGTCACTATAGGTATTTCTACCTAAGATGACGGAGGGAGGTAGGAGATGAAGTGTGCCAGCCTCTGATTGGCCCATTCAAATATTAGCGCGCGTTTTTTTTTATTTCCTGGATAATGACTTGTTTTTTAATATAATATTATAGGTTCATTATAATAAACGAATGGCATGTTAGTTCAGTTGGCAGGGAAGCGTGTTGGTAAAGGAATGGACTTGGGTTCGAGTCCTAGGTCCAACATATTATTTTTCTAACAATTTTCACACGCAGATTGGATGCATGCAGTAGCCAGGGGTTCACCATACACCCTACCATCAACACCACCAGATCATACTCAACTTGGATCTAGTGCTTCCAACAAGTAGTCCCCATCATGGACTCTCCAGGCGTACCCACACAGGATCCAAAGCCAATTTGGGATTTAACTTTTGGGCCAAACGTTTTTTGACAACTACACCCCCCCCCCCTTTTTGTTTTGATGTCAGGCCCATTTGCTTTATTTGTTTTCTAATTTCTTTTTTTTTTTCAAAAGTCATTTTTTTAATAAATCAAAAAATAAATAAATAGATTTAGTTTTTTTTCTAAAAATATTTTAATTAATTAGTTAATTATTTTAATTTTATTTTATTAACTTTAAAATCAATTAGACTTAGGTTATTTCATTCAAATATTTTCTTAAATAAAAAATACCAAAAAATGTTATGTTTTTGTTTATAATTTAATTTTGATCAATAATTTTATTTTGTTTTAATTAATTAAATTAAATTTTAATTTAATTTAGTATTTTCCTAAATAAACAAAAACAACCAAAAAGATTTTTGCTTTAGGTTTTTAGAACGTGTGTTCATTTATCGCGCGTTTATTTCCCTTTTCATTTTATATTCATGTAACTGTGATACGGGGTATAATAGCTAATAGGAATATACTTTGTTGCTTTTTTTTTCCTATTTGGTTTGGAATGTAAATCCCCCTCCCCGAAGCCATGTAATAGTCTAGATTTTTACCTTCCGCATTTTTTTCTGTATATAATTGTTAGTAATTTAGGCGTGCATGATAAGATAAAGTCAATTAACTGTTAGATCACTAACCTCAAGATAATATAACTGAAAAAAACACACTTCTCACACTTGCATCCTTAGGGTATTCCTCACTTGGTTGCCTTTGAAAATGGTCATGTCCCTCGAACGTAGGGATATCTTAGCAATGACCCTCAGGTTAAAAGTCATCATAAAAGATCATAGTCCCTTACGTCCCTCGAGTTGCCTTTCGGTAAATGATCTTGTCCCTCGATGTTGCTTATATGATGATCGTCCCTTCGAATGCTAACATATCCTTACATGTTGCCTTCGATGACCATAATGTCCCTTTCAATAGTCCCTTAACATCCAACAATATGGATACTTACTCACTAATAGTAGGATAGCACTATCTAAAGGATAGGAGAAAAAGAACATCCTTTTTTCGAATAGGTAGACTGTTCTTAAATACTTGCTCAAACCTGAATTTTTCACACTTTCACACTTTTCAAAACTATTTTCAAAAAAACGCTTTATCACGCTCTTGAGGACTGATACAAGAGTTACCATAAAGCAAACAAAAACTTTCAAAACACACAAATACACAAATAATTTTCAAAATTAGTAAGTACCTAAGAGCCCGTGGAAAATCACGGATGGAAAGGGTGTTAATACCTTCCCTTTCCATAATCTACCCCCCTTACTCATAAAATCTCGAGAAAAAAAAGGTCTTTTTCTATTCTTTTCACCCTTTCCTTTGTTGGATAAAAGAAAAGTTGGTGGCGACTCTTGCTTACCGCGACATTTGCGAACAAAAAACGCAAAACCAGTATTAAACAGTTGGTTCTGCCACCGTATCACACTATGCTTTCAAACTTATCTGTCAAAGATCTTAAAATCTTCTCGATAATACGAGCATCAGTCATTGCTTCTCCATTTTAATTTAGTTGATTTGCCACTGTCTGCACACGAGTGATGTAGCCCGACACAGACTTTATCTCCTTCATCTTTATTCTCTCCATTTCTCCTCGAAGAGTCCGCAAGCGAACTTGTTTGACTCTATCTGCTTCTTTGAAAGCCTTTTCTAGTGTCTCCCACACTTCCTTCGACGTAGTCGAACCAGCAATCTTTTCGAAAACTGATTCGTCGACTACTCTGAACAGCATGTACAATGTTGTTTTATCCTTTGTTCGCGTTTCTTTCAATGCCTTGTTCTAAGCAGTTGTGATTGCCGTCGTATCTGATGGTTCTTCAAACTCATCGTTAGTTACTTCCCATACATCTAACAATCCCAGAAGCGCCTTCATCTGGATACTCCAGTTCTCATCATTCGACTTTGATAGTCATGGCAGTGGCATTTGACTCATCATATTTGCCATGCACTCTGATACCAATTTGAATAGAAATGGGAGTGGACTTTAAACTTGCTTTCTTTATAAAATTATCCAACTAAATTTTGATATGAGTACAAAGTGATTTATATAGAGATCACAAGATAGAATATTAAATGTTACAGCATTA